GGAGCTGGGGCTGTTCAGTCTGGAGAAGAGGAGGCTGAGGGGAGACCTTATCGCTCTCTACAGCTCCCTGAAAGGAGGGTGTGGTGAGGGGGGGTTGGTCTCTTCTCCCAGGTAACCAGCGATAGGACGAGAGGCAATGGCCTCAGGTTGCATCAGGGGAGGTTCAGATTGGATATTAGGAAAAATGTCTTCACTGGAAGAGTGGTCAGAGACAACGGCCTCAAGTTGCATCAGGGGAGTTTTAGATTGGATAATAGGAACAATTTCTTCACTGAAGGGGTTGACAGGCATTGGACCAGGCTGCCCAGGTCAGTGGTGGAGTCCCCATCCCTGGAGGGGTTCAAAAAAATGTGTAGACGTGGCACTTGGGGACATGGTTTAGCAGGCATGGGGGTGTTGGGGTGAGGGTTGGACTTGATGATCTTAGAGGTCTTTTCCAACCTTAATGATTCTGTGATTCTGTCCCGTGGGGAGTCTGGTCACCTTAGCAAATGAATTATACTTCCATATTTTGTAAGTGCTCAAGGTAGAAAGAAGCTTGATCCTCTTGTTTAGCAATGAAAGATACATAGCATTATACTGCCAGCACAATCGCGATTTTAACACCGTTTGTTTGAATTCTTCCCTGCTCAGGTTGGCCTTCGGCAGCTGGATATGTCCTTGCTGTGCCAGCTGTACTCCCTGTACGAATCCATTCAGGAGTATAAAGGCGCCTGCCAAGCCGACTCTAACGCAGACTGCACGTACGCTCTGGAAAATGGGTTTTTTGATGAAGAGGAGGAGTACTTCTAGAAGCGGGAAAATCACCTCCAGGCTGACCGAGGTCCTCTTGCCCTTCTCTCCCTGTGACGCACCTCGGTGAGAACGACTGGAAGCTGTAGGGATCTCCCTTCCCGAGGAGGAGCACCCAGCTACCCCGAGCCGTGTCCTTATTTTCACCGGCTGTCAGGACAGGTTACTCCTGCAAATACCACTCGAGGAAAGTGCCGTACTCTGACTTTTGAAGAGTCCTCAAACATGCTCGACAAGAGTTTTTCAATTTAATTTGCAAGGTGGGTGGCTTCAACTTAGGAACGGTAGCTTATAACTGGAATTTTACTCGTAGAAGACAGCGGCAACTTCCTGAGCTGTGATAACTTCGTAGGGGTGCGGGGGGGAAGTCTCCGCTGTGGTGTAAATAGCTCTAGGTGATTTTTTGTCTTTTTTGAGGGGTGGGGGGGGTCAGTGGTATTGATAAATGCATTTTGAACAGGCATCTGGATGCACGCACATCCTCAGCTCTACTAAGCTACTTCTGCTCTTATCAGCTGCATCCAGTTTTCTACTGGGTGGATTGTTTACACAGTTTAAATTTCCTTTTTTTTTTTTCCTCCTTAAGCTAGTTTTGACTTTCCTTGTTCCCAGCTTACAAGCTGTACGTGCGATGGTGAATGTTATCAGCAGGTTTTGGTTTTTTTTTTTTTTTTTTTCTTTGTTGGTACTGCCACTTGGCGTGAACTTTTATAGTGCTGTCCGGATTCCTTGCCTCAGCGTAGCTCTCTGACCTGCTCATCTCGGCTCCCAAATGGTTTGCTTGGCTTTTACTACAGCATAGTAAAAGCACAGATTCAAACGTAGTCTGTCTGCCACTGTGTGGCTTGGAATGCCGTGAACTCTCGTGCAAGCGTTCTCGGTCGTCTGAAAAATAAGGAAACCTCTCCTACGACGCAATGGGACAAATTGCAATATTTTGTACTGGGGGAACTTTGTTTCTGTAAGGTAGACTACAGCTCTTTTTAAAAACGCAGAATAAGTATTTTGAGCACATACTTTGCGTATGCTAAAACTTTTTATACTAACTTGTTCTTTGAAGTATAACTTATTTTTGTTTCCAGGACTTACTAAAGCACTCGGTTTAAGTTTTTATTATTTCTTAGTGTGTACGTGTAATGCTTCATCAGCTTGGAACATGAGAGCTGCCAGCCGTCTGAGTCTTCCCCCCTCTCTGTTTTAAGTAAAATCGGCTCCCAGCGCGATTTTCGTTTCTTAACTTGAATTCTCAAGCTTGCTGCAAAGCACAGTGCCTGGCTCTTGACACGAGCTGATAATTAAGGGCTTAAATCTCCAAAGGTTTTTGCCTGGTTCATGCCTGGCGTGCGTACAGTTTGCCGAGGGAGCCGGCGCTCGCACGCTGGGGTAGCTCCTCTCTCACCTTTTAGCAAAGGCGAGGATGTCGCTGTGAGAAAAGCCAAGAGCCTTCCAGGGTGGAGGCTTCGTGCATTGCCTCTAAAACCGGCTTCTTTTAGGGGAATTTAAAGGCCACAAGAGCAAAGACACTGCAGTAACTGTGTATGTGTGTAAGTTCTGCATCTAGTCTGTGGCAAGGGTCAGAGGTGTTGTTTTCAACATTAATTCTGGTCTAATTACTTGACTCACAAAACTAAAATGAATAAGGCCAACGCAAATCGTCCACACGGCTACATCGATATTTAAGAAGCTGTGTGTGTATGTACGAGTATCTATACACACATATGGACGTACAACTTTGTGCTTTGACTTAGGAATGTATCAGCTTTGAGTATCATTTGCTGTGCTTTTGGCATTTAGATGAGGCTTTTTCTGGTCTGTTGAAGTACTGCTCTTTTCTTGCTCTTTTCAAAAAATAAAAAGCATGATGTTTAGCGTAACTTTTTAACGTTGTGTCTATTTTAATTTACCATTTCGGTCGATCCAGACTCTCCCCCCTTCCCAGCCTCCCCCTAAAAAACCTAGGACTAGTCATCACCCCTGGATCGAAGCAAGCGGTTTTTAAGGAAAGCTTCTACCTGCCTATATTTGGAATGTGAATTTCCTACTTCTGTGTCTTAATCAGATTCTACTCGGTTTTGAGTTCAGCAGAGAGAATCCTGTCTCTGCTAGAATTAAAGGTTCTGTTTTACAAATTCTTACACAGTGCTGTTCCTTAATAGTCCCATTGGCCAGAAGGGACTTGAGGAAAATCCACGGCACTTTCTCTTACATAAATGAAACTTAAAAGGCAAAATGATTTACGTTTCTGATTTTAATGCAGCGTGCTGGTGAGCTGGGGAACGTGGAATGTTTGGCTGGTATTCGCTGTACCGAGAGAAGCGTAGAAGTCTGAAGGCATCACTCCACAGCACCATCTGCACTGGGAAAAGGGGGGATGATTCGGACTTGCCAAGTTTTCAGCCCCTTGTCCCTTTTAACGCCACCTTCTTGCACGGGAGGGAAGTTATGGGCTATGTTCCTAAGGCGAACTGAAATGCAGTGAAGCATGGCCAGCGAGGCAGAGGTTTCAAAAACAGTTAATTTGGTATGATGTCACTGAGCAGTTGTTCCGGAGGCAGAGTTCTACGCCTGGTGTCTTGGCGGTGAGCTGCATCGCTTCCCCACGTCGTAACAGTGTGAAGTAGGGAAATGGCTTTGAAAGAGAGGTGCTTGGTGGGTAAGTACAGCTTAAACATGGAGGAATTGTTACATACAGCTTGAAGTCAGAGTAGTGTGCGTGACGGAACAAGCTGTGTTACGACAAAAGCTCGCAACCCTTGGTCCAAACCACCTACCAACAATGATCCCTTGCCCATTTTTACTCCGAAACCTTGATTTCATAGAATCATTAAGGTTGGAGAAGACCTCTAAGATCATCAAGTCCAACTGTCACCCCAACACCCCCATGCCTGCTAAACCATGTCCCCAAGTGCCCCATCTACACAGTTTTTGAACCCCTCCACGGATGGGGACTCCACCACTGCCCTGGGCAGCCTGGTCCAATGCCTGACCACTCTTGCAGTGAAGACATTTTTCCTAATATCCAATCTAAACCTCCCCTGATGCAACTTCAGGCCATTGCCTCTCGTCCTATCGCTGGTTACCTGGGAGAAGAGACCAACTCCCCCCTCACTACACCCTCCTGTCAGGGAGCTGTAGAGAGCGATAAGGTCTCCCCTCAGCCTCCTCTTCTCCAGACTGAACAGCCCCAGCTCCCTCAGCCGCTCTTCACCAGACTTGTTCTCCAGACCCCTCCCCAGCCTCGCTGCCCTTCTCTGGACACGCTCCAGCCCCTCAATGTCCTTCTTGTGGTGAGGGGCCCAGAACTGAACACAGCACTCGAGGTGCGGCCTCACCAGCACCGAGTACAGGGGCACGATCCCCTCCCTGCTCCTGCTGGCCACACCATTCCTGATCCAAGCCAGGATGCCCTTGGCCTTCTTGGCCACCTGGGCACATTGGCGTGTGCCAGGGGCCCGATCCCCTCCCTGCTCCTGCTGGCCACACCATTCCTGATCCAAGCCAGGATGCCCTTGGCCTTCTTGGCCACCTGGGCACATTGCCGGCTCATGTTCAGCCGGCTGACAATTTGACTTACATATAACCTTTTGAGGATACTTTTTAAGGCTTTAAGGAGAGAACCTCTTGAAAACTTCACTACCAAGCGAATACCACACAACTCTTTCGGTCCCACACAGCGCAGCCGGCTTTGCTGGCGCAGGAGAAGGCAGGTTTTCAAGGAAACGAGGACAGTCCGGCTCCTGCTGCTGAGAGGTGGAAAACTGCGAGTACAGCCATTCAGAAGGCAATCTGCCACAGTAATTCTTCACTGGCCTTTCTCCAAAGGGCCTACAAATGTGGTAAATGGTTAGAAGTAAGGGATTATTAGGTCTGTGCTAGATATGTTTGAAGGTTTTTTTAACAACGTGCCATCCTCATTGCTAGGACAGTTGCAGAGTCGTGCAGTCATAATGACATTGCATTCTAGTCCCTTTGAAGTGTTCTTTATCTACGAAAAAAGAAGAATCTGGAAGAAGTGCTCCATTCTCAAGAAAGTGAGCGTCGTAAAAAAAAGAATCGGTGGCTGATGTCCTGGCAGGTGTAATGCATAGAATCATGGAATGCTTTGGGTTGGGAGGGACCTTCAGAGGCCACCCAGCCCAACCCCCCTGCAGTGAGCAGGGACGTCTTCACCTGGGTCAGGCTGCTCAGAGCCCCGTCCAACCTGGCCTGGAATGTCTCCAGGGATAGGGCATCAACCACCTCTCTGGGCAGCCTGGGCCAGGGTTTCACCACCCTCATGGTAAAAAATTTCCTCCTTATCTCCAGTCTAAACCTCCTCTCCCTCCATTTAAAGCCATTACTCCTTGTCCTGTCACAACAGGCCTTGCTAAAAAGATGGGCGTTTAGTTCCAGCTTCAGCTCCTGATGTCAGCACTGTTGGTTTTAGTGGGGCTGGATGAAGGTTTTCAGAGGTATTACTGTGTAACGCAGTGAACCTTGTGACAGACGATCAGCTGAGTAACTTCTGAAAAAGATCAGGGTTGCTTCACAGAAAGAGTTTTCCAATAAAGGTGAGGCAAATTTGCACAGGTAGCTTGGATTCATCTTTCAGGCGCTAGCTAAAGTTGAGGTTTTTAATACAAAATTGAGTGTAGTCTTGAAATTGAAAGGCTGGGAGAAGGATTATGAAAAAAACCATTGTTATTTGTAAATAATAATTCAATTCCTAATCATAGGTAACCAAGGAATTTAGCATGAATTTCTCAAGTTTATTTTTTTTAAAAATATGTTTACGTTTTCTTGTAAATAATTCGGTTTGCAAAATTTTGAATGCAACAAAGACAACAGCGAAAACACCAGCATCTATAAAAAAAGTTGATCAAATTAGTATCTATTTGCTAACCTAAGGTGGTGCCTCGTATTTAGTTCCTGAGGAACCAAAGTTCACGCAATGGCTGTCCGGGCGTTTTCTGTCAGTCTGTTTGCTCTAAACCACATCGCAGAGAAGCTGGAAAGTCGCTCTGTCTTTATAAACCTTGTGAAAATGAGCAGCTGGAGGAGGAATGGGACGTCCGGCG